CCCACCTCATATAGTACACTTCTAGAAAAATCAAACTTCAAGTCCCTTTCTCTGTTTACATATTGGAACTCAGCAGCGACTGCTTATCTGTTGTGTTTTGTCTGCTTTCTTATATACTGAGATGTTCATCTTGTTTTTTAATATGGCTTTGTCTTTTTAGGTAGCAAAAAATTGTATCTTCATTATTACTATGTACTTATATTCTAGCTAGATGACTGAATTATGATATCATAACACCAACTTGACTCGTACTCTTTGTGCTATAATTATTATATATATATAAAAATTCTATCCAGCTGAATATATAAAAATAAAAATTTATATTATTGTTTGAAAGAAGTCAAAAGTATTGATGTTTAAAAGTGATGTTTTTATCCATCTAGAAAACACAAGAGTATCAACTCCAAAGCTACTTTAACTAATATGATAATTAATCCTATTTACAAATAAAACACATATTTATGTACACATATATTAACAGTTTTCCTATATAGCAGAAATACCCTATTAGAAATTAATTGTATAACAAGGCTTCTAACCAGGCAGCCTAAATCCAGAGTCTCTTCCTTTAATCTTTATGCTATATGCCACTACATGATTTATTACTTACATTGACTTGACCCTAATCACTGAGATAAGAAATTGACCAGTATACCTGAAAGCTATTTGGAATGCCCGTGTTCAAAGGAGCCCTTTCATACATATCTCAAATTCTTTCCCTTCATGATTTAAGTATTTGATTATTGCTCAAACCTTTCCAAAATACCTCTCCCAAAGTGGAGCTAGCCAGATCTTATTTGGCTTCACCTCCAAATTCTGTTTTCTTTATTTGCATGTTTTGTCTTATGGTAACTCCATTAGCAGAAAGAGGAGGTCCCTGTGCCATCTAACAAAGCACAAAGAATGTGTGATTTCAATCTCTTCTGAGGCTTTGACTCTACATGGCCAAATTCCTATTATCTTCTTGGCAGCGTCCACTCTTGTGCCAAAAGAAGACAAACCTTTCCACAGCTCTGCCTGTTTTCTCTTCTGGTTTTGTCTCTTTCTTTCCACAGGTCTATGTAATCTGTATGATTTTACTAGATGTTTTTTCTTTTATTTCTATCATGGAATCTTTATGGTTTTCCTTCTTCTATGTAACAATAGATTTCCCCTCCAAATTCTTTCTCCAAACAAGTAATACAGTGAATTGAGTAGGAAAAACTTATTTTATCTTCTCTAGAATCATAACACACACACACACACACACAAACATTCACGTTCAAACTTGGGTAGATAAACTATTAGGAAGATATTAAAAACAAGGGTTGGATATTCATGATTTTCAATGAAATTAATGTGCTGTGTCATATGACTAAATAAAAATTATGCAAATATGTCTGCATAGAAGCTGAGCACTTAGGATCTTGCTGTTCTTAGAATTTGTTAGACTCTCTCTGTGTTAACTTTGTTCTGAGTACCACAAAATAAGAGAAACGTGAGTTCAAAAGTGAGCAATCAGAATGTTAAATTGTGGCTATCAATCTTGGAAACAAAACTATTTGATGAATTTCTTTTTTCATTCTTGTTAGGAGGATAGAAGTAGGAAAAAGGTCTTATAGATAGTGATTATAAAGAGATTGGTTTTGGTTTGATTTTGATTTACAGATATTCTGTTTTATAACACAGTTGTTCAAAATGTGTTGCTACTATGGTACTGAGTTTCTCATAAATAAAACTTTTCAAGAAAATTATGGATTACTATTTACCTTGGATGCTGAAGTGAACTGAATAAATTATATCTCCAATTAGTCCAATAAGAGCAGTCATTGATTATTCTAAATATCCTATTGGACAATTCCAACAAAATCGGATGAAAATGACCCACTAATGCAACTGGCAAATAACTTGTTTAACAATAAGCGTGTTCTTTTTTCTGCAAGAGACTGTGCTGGACTTTAGAGGAAAATAAACCAACAACAAAAGTGTGATACTAATCCCAGTTTAATTCTAGCCCTAACCTCCCTAAAGAAGATTACAGTTTGGAAGACAAGAACAATGCATTACATATAAAACAGTTAAGTAAAAATTTAGTAATTAAATGGGAATAAAGAATATGAAGCAGAATATTTTAAAATTGATAAGTGGTAAGACAAGTTCAGAAGTCAAGGGTGATCATAGTAGGCTAGGCAAGCAGGATATGTGGAAAAACTAGGACTACTGTTTGAGCTTAAAATGACCAACAAAGTCATACAGTGAATAACTATACCTGAGCTGAAATAGGCCTATAGACTTTACTTGCATAATTTTCTCTAATTTAAAGTAACCTCAATTGTGTGCGCATGCATGTAAATGTGTGTATGTTAATGCATAAACATATATAAATTTGTATCTATAAAGAGGTATAAAATATTTGCATTAGAAAGAAATTTTGATAGTCTATAACTGAAACTATAATTTCTGGTAGAACTTCCAAGCTTCCTCCTAGGAAAATGACAAATCTTAGACATTCTTTCATTACTTGAGTTCATCCACTGTTTCTTTACAGTGGATGAAATAGGTGTATTCTTTCAACATTTTGCACTGCTTCCAATCCCAAACAAATAAGGCAAAACAAACAGTAGTAACAGCAATAACATCAACGTGAAAAACGTCAAAGGAAAATTAACATTGTCTAAAATTGAGCCTATACTCAAAGTAGAGTTCAAGTATAGTCCTGTATAGGTCATGGAGCAAAACTGAAAGGAGACTCAGAATTGACCTGCAGTTGCCCTTGAACCCTGACAAAGAACACTCTAAGAGAAGAAAATGACAAGTGAATATAATTCTCAAAATTTACTGATGGAAAAAAATTACTGATACTCTTTAACTTTAGTGGAATAAAGTTTTGGAGATACCACAGTTGCAGAATAAAGACACTTAATATCCCTGTAAAAACACCATGGCCATCCCAACCACTCTAAGTTACTTGGCTGATAAAGGGAAAAGAAAAAGGGAGAGAGAGAGTATGTTTTGTTTGTTTGTTTGTTTTGTTTTGGGGTTTTTTTTTTCCAAACTTAGAAACAAGCACTTTGTTCTGGGGCTCTAGAAAGTTGTGTCCAGCCCAAAGGCATTCAAATGCAATTTTTCAGGTCTAATCAGGCCCAGTCATGGACCTTCTTTTATTTCTCCTGATTGAAGTCTGTGATACAGACAGGGAATCTGCAGTTTCCTAATGTCCAGATGACCAGTTTTAAATATGAAAGAAACTAATATTTATCCAATACCTGTGCTTTACCAGGCACCGTTAGGAATATTGTAAAAAAAAGGTTTCTTCATTTGAAGGTATATTTGATGGACAACCTCTAAATCTCCTTTTAACAATAAATGTATTCAATTTAGAAGTTTTAAATAGTTTTTGAACTTGATGCCTAAAAACAAAAACCAAGAATGTACTGCTGAGTTGATGGAGGTAGGGAAAGTTCAGACAGTAGAATCTCAATGAGGAATTACAAATTCACTTAAATGTAAGGGGATTGGGTGTTAAGTGTAAATATGAGACCTTCTCATTGGGAAGACTCAATGTCTGTAAAGAGGGTTGAATTTCTGGCTTTGCACCTGCAGCAAATCTCTAAGACTTAGCCCCTCTGTCCAGAAAATGGGCTAATTTTGGGGAGAGAAAGTGAAGGGTTTCACTATTTATTTATGACAAATATTCAACACTCACAATTCTCTCCAATCAGAAGTTCTTTGAGATGTTGTTGGTCTTGACCAGTCAGAGAATGGAGTCATCTGACTTACCCATTCTGAGAATGGCCCTACAGACAGTATAGGTTTTAAATTGACCATTAAACCTGCCTATAACCTTGTCAACCTTGGCTAAGTTCATCTGGATGGATGCATGGTCCTTGGCATCCATGATGCGGTTGCTGGCAGATCATTTCCACTGCATGTACAGGTTCATAAACTTAGGCTGGATAATATCAATTATGTTCAATTACAGAGATGTGGCGAGAGTTAAACAGGATCATGTAAAAAATGTGCATGAAAATATCCATAATCTGTGAAGGACTATGCATTGAATGTTGTTATTGTCATTGAATGTTGCTAGCAATAGCATGACCATTTTTTACTTACAAATAAATATCGCAGTTGACTTATTACTAACTCTAAGAAAGGTTCAAATTGACATGAACAAATAAAACTTTAGGAAAGAAAACTAGAGTTCTATGTGGGGACTATGTCTAACATGGTTATATTAAACATTTTGGAACAATTAATTTGGTTTTGTTGTCTCTCTTCTAGGGTTTTTAAACATTTATAAATTCCCAATTCTTTCTATCCAATCTAAACATTTTACAATATCCTGTGGACCTTACTTCCAAATTCTCAATTCTTTCTATCCAGTCTAAACATTTTACAATATCCTGTGGACCTTACTTCCTTAGTAGATTCCCAGAAGGTAATGATTTGCTCTTTTCTGCTCTCCAAGCAGCTTCTGTGTTGGTGCAGAGTTGCAGATCTCTGTTGGTGGTAGGTTCTATTCTGCAGAAACCCCCTAATCCTCTGTTTACCACAACATGAGTCTATTGCCATAGAAATGATAGCTGAGATCCCAGATTCAACACCACTGACTTCACAGCAGGGCCTGGTAAGAGGAGACTCTGAGCTAAGGGGGGGAAAGCAATGTATGAGAATAGTAGGCACTCTGTAGCCTTGAAAGAAAGGGTAATTGTCAACATTAGAATAAAAATTCATGAAAGAGCTACATTGTTAGGTGTGCTGTAGTTTATTTTCTGTATAATACTGCCTGGCTAAAAGTAATCATTTTGAAATCTTATGTCATTTAATAGTTTGCTTTCAAAAGGTCAGCAGTTTCCCTTGATTGCATTTGTTTCTTATTGAAATAAGAAACAAGCAGCTTCTAATTAATCTTGTTGCACAATTGATGTTTCTGTGGTCAAAGATTTCCCTTTTCATGATGTGTTGTTTTGTTTGCGTGTTTATTGTGTGTGTTTGTCTTGTCTTGTTTTTATTAACAGAAGAAAGTGAACCTGAACAAGATACTAAAGGTATTTTTTTTTCTTTCTGCATGGCTTCTTTTTAAATGTGTAGCTCTTTTCTACTGTTTATTTTTGCCGACCTTATAAACAGCTCTAAGTGCCATTTTTTAAAGAAATAACAAACAATGTATGGGGAATATTAAGTCACAGCACTTAACAGTGTTATTAGATAGGCTTCTTTATTATATAATCCAATATGATCACTGACCATTTGCATTTCTTAAGAAAGATCGAATTAAAAGAAATGTTTAAATTTGATGTCTCTGGAAATACAAACAAAATGAAATGAAATAAATTAGCATAAGAGTATAAATCCCACATAGACTGGAAAAGAAAGCTACCCTTTGACTAAAAGACTTTTTTAGGGGAGTAGGGGGCTTTACAGTTTTTGGATAAATGTTAGGATGTCAAGGTGCCAATTTGGTTTTTACTGTGATGATTTCAACAAGATCAGGAGTATTATGCAATTGCTCCAAATCAATAAAAATTAAATTATTTTAATTGCACAGAGACATATATATGTAGTGGAATATGATTAGAGGAAAATAGCTGGAAATTAAATTTGTTTGGGAAAAATTCTACTTTTTCCTAACAGCTTTCTGTCAACAGTTTATGTTTTCTGTTAAAAAAAAAAAAAAAAAAAAAAGTACCTTGCATTCTGATTAAGCCCCAAACTTTGTGCTCTTCTAACCTAAGATTTGATATTTGGGGGATGAAATTCGTGAGTTCTCATGTAATAGAGTTGTCTGTAGGAATTAATATTAAACTGGTATTATTTAAAACAGTACCTCCTTATACTTTCTTATCTTAGTATCTCATATAAAGTACAGATAATGTTTTCTTATTTTTAAATACTGGGTTGCTTACAACTAAATGCAAGTAAAAAAGCATTTTGCCTGGTCCTGTGTGATTTTTTTTCTTAATTTATTTCTATCAGTTATTGCTGGTTTGAATCATGTAACCTAAAAACCCTTTTCAAAGGAAGCTAGAAAATAACAAAAGAGCAAGGGAAAAGAAAATCCATGGGAGCTCATTGTGTCCTTTGAAATAACTTCTCAGAAATAGAAATTGATAAGAGACTTAAGTATTCCTCTGGCACTGCTCCCTTACCAAGAAAAGAGAGGTAGTTCATCTCCAGCCAAACCACTCATTTATTTCAGGACTTAATGTGGATGCCTGTCCCTTGGGCTTTTTATTACACTCCAGTGCAACTTCAGAGTGAATTATGCCTTTATCTTTTTACTATATATTACTCCTTAAGATGACAATCAATAATAAAACTGATTATGTATCTGAAAGTGCTTTGAAATAAGGAGAGAGAGAATATAATGTGGGTATGTTATAAAAGATTTTAGAATTGCTGGCTTCTTGAGCCCAATTTTGAATATAGGATTCTCCACTTGCAGTTAGCCTGCAAGTTTGCCCAAGAGACATTAAAGCCCCAAACTCATGAATAAATCCCATGAGAGAAAACCCAGAGATAAAAATATTACCTGTGTCTATTTTCCATGTTGCAGATGCACTTGCCTACCCACAGGAAAGGAAGTGGCTTAGGGCTCACGGTGACTTGGAGAATTATGGATAAGACTATGTATGGAAAGAGTGGTTTGATGACTTTTTTGTTTAAAAATCCATATCAAAACAGTTATAAATGCTTTCCAACTAAGTAATTTAATGCTCCTTCTATTAAGTGGTTTGTTTATGTAACAAAACACTTTTATATTCTTTTATGCAAATAAAACACAATATAGGGATATTCTATGCCCATTTTATTTAACAAGAAACATGTCATATAACTTTTTAAATTGATGACCTAGAATGCATTTTCAGCTTGTGACTACCACTGAAATAATGGGATTTACTGTTGACCTATGTCCAAGTTTGTTATTGCAGGTGTATTATTATTAATGGAGTTTAGTCTGGTATTTATTTTTAATTGCAACTGACTTTATTGTTTATGATGCTTGAAAAACATGTCAAAATTTCCCTCATCACCTTTTTATCTTTCATATTTGAAAATGGTAAATCTGAGTATTATGCAATTGCTCAGATAGAGTTGGGTAAAAATATATTAGCTTTATTGCTGATAAGGCTGGAATGAAAAATAAAGATTTCTATTCCATGTGAGAATTAGACTAACATAACTCTGTTTCCTCATCCTCCTCCTCCCCACCCCACTCTTTCCCCTTCACTCCTAGTTGTAGGATGAAGAAGCCCTGACCTGGTGAACTTACTTACACACATCCTTCTTAGATGCAAGAGAGCTGGGAGACTGATAGCTCAGAATAGGACTGAGATACACATAACATATCCAAGTGCCTTCCCCCAACCTTATCAGAGAAGTCATTATCTTCATTCATTTATTTATTCATTCACTTAGCAAATATTCATTGAGTGCCTACCATATATATGCACCATGCAGGATTCTAGAACTAGAGATAGATATGTACATAGATATGTAGATTGTGTCAGTCAGCTCGTGTCAGAAAGCAAAGCAAACCTTGCCCTTGTGATGCTTACATTCTAGAGGGGAGAGACAGACAAAAAACAAACAAGCAAACAAATAAATCAGTAATTACCAAATGATTCAGATAGTGGTGTTATGATAAAATATAAACAAGGGTAAGGGGAATGGGGATGAGAAAGTACTATGATAAGGAAACATTTGAGTAGAAACCCAAAAGACATCTGCTATCTCCTTTGAGAAGGGAGGAAGACTGAAGGAAGGGTGGCAACTAATTTTCAATACTGAAATAAGGGGGTTGAGTTTCTATGTTATCATTTAGAGAATGTGAGAGTGCAGGATAAAGCAGCTTCCCTTTAATTCCTGGCCTTTTTGTCCTCTTAACCTAACCCACTGCACTTAATGAAGCCCATCGTCAGCGAAAGTATATCTGCCCCCTTCAGGGAGAAGTTTATCAGCAGTCTCACATTCACGAAGCTACCTATAATGTCAGTAGTACTCCTGTACCCGCCTGTGCCCCACTGGAGCCCCCAAAAAGTTCCAGTGGAGGGCAGAATAGTACATTAGTTAAATTAATTCCAAAGTCACGTTGAATTGACTGTTTTATTTACCATCCCACACTATGCTTACTTGTGTTGTGCAATGTGGATAATCAGAGGTTTTGCAATAAGCCAAAATGATATTCCAAATAATAACAGCCAAAAGAAAAAAACTGCTATAAATTAGGACAAAATAAAACCTTTCTGATTACTATATTTCCAGGAAGAATTTAAAGTCCCCAAATTAAAACTCTTGGCTTTATAAATTAAAGCAGTAAAACAATTGAAATTACATTATTCTCCAATTTTTTATTCTGCTCATCTTCAGCCAGAAGGCTTTCATTCAAAAAGCCTTTTTGATTTGAAAAGTTCAAGGGTATAGTCAAGGTTACTAGAACAGTTTTCTAGCACATGTGAGATTGAAATGTGCTAGATTTTCCAAATCTCTCAAAGATCCTGCTTGTTTCAGATTCTCAGGGGCAATGGGATCCATAGATGGTCATGCAGTAGCCCCACACTCAAAAAATTTAGGAAACACAAGCACAGCCCCAACCCCTACAAGAGCTATTTTAGCCAGATGATGAACGTGGACTCTATGTCTCCATTATTGTAACGGGAAAACATTAGAAGAGTACCTGGATGCACCCTCACTAGGATGCCTGTCAGTGTTACTTGTTAAGAGTCTACAACGTGTGAATTTAGATTAAGTTGGGAGAATAAGAATCCAAGCAGAGCCATACATTGCATTTGGGTAATATGTCTCTTACATCTCTTGTAGTCTATAATGGATCATCACTCTTCCTTTTTTATCCCCTGATGCTAATGATTTTCCCTGTTAAATGTCTGGGTTTGATTGAATTGCATCTCCACAGTGTTCTTTGAAATGTTCCTCAACCCTTTAATTTTTGTAGCTTGTTAATTAGACCCCAGGATTTACTTAAAGTCAGCCTCAATTTTGGTTTTGGGGGACAGATTCAGCTTCGTTTTAAACATTTGACAGCGTTCTTTGTTATTTTTTTAATAATCTTTTTGCCTTGAAGATAGCACCTTCCTTGCATTTCTTTTCTCCTGGCTTTTGGGCCCCACATTTCTATATCTAAAATGTCAATATCAAAAGATAGGAAGTCAAATTAATTTAAATCTGCAAAAAGCCTTCAATTGTCAGACAAATCAAATGTTCTTTAATCTCTTTAAATTATGCAATGCTTTTTAAGAGGTATTTAACAATCAGACCAACTTGAAACACCGCTCTGGACCTCTTCTATCATTGTCCTGCATATCTCCTTATCTAGCACATGTGGTCTGCCCATACTTTAGTTTAGAATCCAATCTTCACAAATTTCAATTTAACTAGAACTAAGTTTCAAAGCATTGTGTTAATTGGGGCTTCACACTCTAAGTCCTAGAAATCAAAAACTAGGAGCTTAAAATATATTTACAGTATAATAGGCCATCCAAAAGATTCCATAATAGTTTAAACAAACACTGAATTTGAAGTCAGAAGACCTGAGTCCAGGTTTCTCACTCATCTACTTGTTACCTTGGGAAACCAACTTACTTAAATTTAAAAAGATTTTGTTTCCACATCTGTAAGATACGAGCAGGAATCTAGCTGATCTCTGGAGTCTCTTCCAAGTTTAATGATTCTGTGAATCTAAGTATCCCACAATTTACAATGCATTGTGAACCTCAGTCCCACTCTTTAAAGGTAAAATTTCTTCCTACATCAAAATAACTTCCTCTTACTTAATCAGTGGGGATTCAGGGTCAGAAAGGAATAGAAATTACTCAGTCTCCTGCCTACATTTTATCTAAAATATCCTTTTTTTTTTTTTTTTTTTTTTGCGCCCAATATGTCATCTGAAAAGTTTGACACAATTTGTCTGTCCTCCCACTATGCTACAGTTGAGGGTGTAAAGTATAATTATTTGATTAATTCAATAAACTACTATCCTGTGCTTACTCTGGTCAGGAACTCTGCCTGAAACAACACAGCAGTCAACAAAAGGCAAGGCTTTTGGCTTCAAACAATTTAATGGGCAAGGGGAATTATAGAAGTAAAAAATAAATAAGGTAATTTCAGATAGTTGTAAGGTCTGTAAAGACAATAATGTAGGCTGCTGAAAAGTGAATGGGGGGAGGATTACACTTGATTTTGGGTGATTAAGAAGGACCTTTCTGAGAAAATGTCACTTAAACAGAGACTTGAATGATTCAAGGAACCTACTACTTGAGGATCTGGGGGGATGAGTGGTCTAGGCAGAGGAAGAACAAGGGCAAGTTTCTATATTAAGAACAAGCTCAGTGCGTCCTTGAGTGGTGAGAAATGTAGGGTTATAACATAAACGGCTTGGAGGCTTGGCCATGGCATATGGTATTATCCTTAAAACAGAGCAAACACTGAAGAACTGGACACAGGGGAACATGGTCTAATTTGCATTTTTAAAAGACCGCTCTAGCTTGACCATTTCCTACAGGAGCATCACTCACCACTTCTGTCTTCCTAACAGTTTTTGCCAGGATCCTGCGGGCTCCTGAATCCCACAATGTCACCTTTGGCTCCTTTGTGACCCTGCACTGTACAGCAACAGGCATTCCTGTCCCCACCATCACCTGGATTGAAAACGGAAATGCTGTGAGTGTCATGTGTGTGGGGACTTGTCTGGGGAAGACCCATTGGTGGTGAACTGCAGGATAGACCATATATTTGTAGTTACCCAGATCTCTGTCATTGGTCTCATCTATACCACTTTTCAAAGCCTCCCAATATCTTTGTCCTAGAAGCCATTGCCATAGAAATCAAACTCCAAAAGTTTGCTTCCTTCCTTGTATTGTGAGGAATACTAGAAAACCAAATTCTTTCTTTATGCCTTTGTGTAAATGGGAAGTGGTAATAATATCTTCCCATATAAGTAAAATAATTTTCATAAAACTCATCACTGAAAGATTAATTCCCTGCTAGAGGCTACTTTGATGAAAAGTAATCTGGAGTTAGAATCTGTGTCAGTTCAACATTCTTTTCTTCATTTTCAATAGTAGTAATAATAACTGATGTATATTAAGTAGTTATTTTCAGCCAGGCCCTATTCCAAGCACTTTACCTACATACATTTATTTATTTATTCATTCTACAAATACATATTGAGCTTCTGAACATCAAACACTATTCTAGGCCCTGTGGATACAGGAGTAAACAAAACAGGCAAAGTTATCTGCCCTCAAAGAGCTTACCTTCTCATGGGGAAATACAGGAAAATACATGTTGTATGTGTATGGTGTCAAATGCTATGGAGAAAAATAAATCAGGAAAAGGAGACAAAAAGTTCAACCTTAGGAGAAATCAGAACCCTCCTACACTGTTCATGGGAATGGGAATTACTACAGTCACTATGGGGGATACTCAAAAAGCTAAAACTGGAATTGCCATACGATCCAGCAATCCCACTACTGGGTATACAGTCAAAAGAAAGAAAATCAGTATATTTAAGAGGCATCTCCACTCCCATTTTTATTGTGGCACTATTCACAATAACCAAGATATAGAGTCAACCTAAGTGTCCATCAATAGATGAATGTATACAGAAAATGTGGTACATATACACAATGAACTATTACTAATCCATAAGATGAATAAAATCCTGTTATTTGCAACAACATGGATGGAACCGCAGGACATTATGTTAAGTGAAATAAGCCAGACACAGAAAGACAAGTATTTCATGTTCTCTCTCATATGTGGGAGCTAAAACAATTGATCTCATGGAGATAGAGAGTAGAATGATAGATACCAGAGGCTGGGAAGGGTAGTGGGGAAGGGGGAATAAAGAGGGGTTGGTTCATGGGTACATACCAATAGTTAGAAGGAATAACATCGAGTGCTTAGTAGCTATATTAGTCAGTTCTCACATCATGATAAAGTAATATCTGAGACTGGGTAATTTATAAAGAAAAGAGGTTTAATTGGCTCGTGGTTCTGCAGGCTGTTCAGGAAGCATAATGGCTTCTGCTTCTGGGGAGGCCTCAAGAAACTTACAATCATGGCAGAAAGCAAAGTGGGAGCAAGACATCTCACATGGCCAGAGCAGGACGAAGGGAAAGGAGAGGCGCTACACACATTTAAACAACCAGATCTCACAATAATTCACTCACTCACTCACTATCATGAGAACAGCACTGAGGGGATGGTGCTAACCCATTCATGAGACTTCTGCCCCCATGATCCAATCACCCCACGCCAGGCCCAATTCCAACACTGCGAATTACAATTCGACTTGAGATTTGGTGGGGACACAGATCCAAACCATAGCAATAGCACAATAGGACAACTATATATAGTTCACAATATTGAACTACATAGCACAATACAGTATTTATTGTGTATTTCAAAATATCTAGAAGAGTGGAATTGGAATGTTCCTAGCACAAAAAGATGACAAATTATTTAGGTGATGGATATCCCAATTACCCTAATTTGATCATTACAGGTTGTATGATTATATCAAAATTTCACATATACCCCATAAATATGTACAACTATTATATATCCATAAAATTTTAAATTAAGAAACATTTTAAACAGAAAGTTAGACCTCAGGAGGAAGATTATATTTTTAAAAGAATGATCAGTGAAGGCTCATTCAGACAAAGACATTTGAACAAAGATCTGAAGGAGTTGAAGGGTGAAGTTACATAGATAACTGGGGGAAGATAACTAGACAGTCTCTGAGATAATGGTATATATGGCATGTCAGAAAAACAGCAAGGAGACCAATGTGGTTAGAGGTGAGTAAGCAAAGAATCAAGAAATGAGAGGTAGGCATTGTGGATCCTATAGGCCTGTGTGGTCATTTAGACAACTTTGCTTTTATTTGAGTGAGATGAGGTGCCACTGTAGGTCTGTTTCTGTCGTCTGTTTTCCCACTGATTCTTGTTCATTTTGTGTTGTTTCCTTGTGTGCCTAGTTATCTTTGATTATCTGCTGTGCATTGTTTTGAGTAAAAATATCAGGAACTATTTTGAGGTCTAGATGAAGGTATTTTCCGCCAGAGAGAATTTTGGTTGTTTCTGCCAGGGACAAGAAGTTACTGCTAATCTCATACCACCTTCAGCTAAGCTCAAGGTATGAAGCTGCTTGGGCATCCCAGATAATTATAACATGGCCAGTATTTCATTATGTGGACTATTTAACTTGTAGTTCACACTGATAGCTCCCTGACATCTAGTTCTTTTAGATCGTAATTTATTATATCTCTTATTAGACTCTATACCTTAATTTATTATATCTCTTATTAGACTCTTACGGGCATGAAGTTTTATCTCCTGACTCCCTAAGGCCATCCAAAGGAAAGTTCAAATTTTCTGGGTTTGGAAAATTCTCTAAGGGTAAATGAGATTTTCTTAGTTTGTTACATCTATTAAAATATTTTTTTTCAAAATTTTAATTTTTTTCACTGTGTAACTTTGTCTGAATAACCTAACATCAACATCTGAGACAGAAACCTATCATGGATTTTTATTGTCATTGTATAGACTTTAACCACTTTGGTTTGTACTGAGTCTTTAGTTTCTGATACTCTTTATGAGGTTAAGAAAATTCTTAATTTGATAATTATTTTTAATATAAATATATTTTAAAATCAATAAAACACTTCATCATCAATTACATCCACTTTTTGATGAGCATGTCATTTTTCACTTTAAACTGCAAAGTTTCCCTTATGTTGAACCATTCTTTCATTTCTGAATACATAGCTTTTTTGTTTAATTTTTTTTTTTTTTTTTTTTTTTTTTTTTTTTTTTTGAGACGGAGTCTGGCTCTGTTGCCCAGGCTGGAGTGCAGTGGTGCGATCTCGGCTCACTGCAAGCTCTGCCTCCCGGGTTCACGCCATTCTCCTGCCTCAGCCTCCCTAGTAGCTGGGACTACAGGCGCCTGCCACCACGCCCGGCTAATTTTTTGTATTTTTAGTAGACACAGGGTTTCACCATGTTAACCAGGATGGTCTCGATCTCCTGACTTCGTGATCCACCCACCTCGGCCTCTCAAAGTGCTGGGATTACAGGCATGAGCCACCGCGTCCAGCCTTGTTTAATTTTTTAATTGTCTGTTTCAATTTTCTGTGTGTTTTTCAGGATTATTTACATCTATTTTCAATAATACAAATGATTTTGTCTTTTAGTAGGCTATGATGATCAGGTTTGGTTAGTATTTCTCCAACCTCATAGAACAGACTGGCAAGTTTACATAGTTTCCTTTGATACAGAACTTGAGGTGAGAAAGTTGAGATGCAAGTCTCTCTTATACTCAGAGACATTTTCCTCTACTATACCAATAATTACTGCTTCTCTCTTCTCCACATTCTTTCTATGTAGATTTCAATTAAATGAATTTCTTTCAAAACTTCAATCTTTCTCTTCTTTATGCTCTACATATATTTGTGGAGGAAATAGGGGGCCCCATTTTATCTGTCAGGTTATTGTCAAGCTCTAGTGTCCACCATGATTGTCAACTATAGGAACTCACAACGGAAAATCTCATTCACAATCTCTATCTCACAGGTAGATGCCTCAGACTGGTGCCATGTGCATACACAATAGCTCCCAGAGTTCTTCAATGACTTTACTGACTTTCTTAAAGTTGGCTCCTGCTTACAGCCCCATGCTATCTGAAGTCTGAAATTTTCCATAACTTTATAGGGAAAATGTATCCATTCTCCTCTCAATAAATCTCTTCTTTTGCGCTAGGTTTCAGCTACTTAGTTGATGTTAATTTTTCTATCTATCCAATCACTTATCTTTATCTTCCAGAATTTGCTGGAAATGTCTGATTCTTTGATTATAATACCATCTTTCTTTATATTTATTTTTCATAATTTTATATTTGATTTCTCTTTTAGGATTTCAAGTCCATAAACAAGAGTTAAACATGTGAGCTAAGATTATTATTACTGTAACTCTGGTGTTAATGAACATAACTTGCATGTAACACAATCTTATTATTTTCTTTGTCATTTTAAAATATTCAGCAGAGCAAGTTCTTTTGCTACTACTTAAGTCTACCTTAAGCAGGCTCTGTGATTTTTCTGGTTACTATTAGTTGATTTTAAATCATTAACATTGTCCCAACTTAGTCATTTAAGTGTCTAGTCCTAAGAATCCAATGGCATTCACAGTTCCTCCGTTCTCAGGGATATTTCAGCTTAACTTTCATGTAAAAAAAAATTGCAGTTGGCTTCTTACCTCATGCTCACTCATTCTTACCCCTGCTATTTATGACCCCAAAAGGGTTGAGTGGGAGGTAGGGAAGAGCAATAACTGGTGCAGGAGAGCTCTAATTCAACAGACACACTTGTAAGTTGGCTTTATACCTTCTGTGCCTGCCAGCTATTTAAAACTGACTCTCACCCTCATAGACATATTCATGATTCTTCAGAAATCAGGGAACATTAAGATGATACCAGTGATGCATTTTCCTCAGGCTAGCCATTTTTGGCCACATTAGCAAGTCCCTAGTCTGCTAGTTGATGGAAAGTCTCTCTGTGTTGGGGTCTAATCAGTCCCCCAAAAAGTCATCTTGGGAGGATTGAAAATGACTCCCAAACAGATCTTCTATACAACCTTTTTATTGACAAACTCTGG